CAGGATATAAAACAAATATCCAGGAAGAGTTGCATTAAAAAAAAATATATTAAATAAAATATTGGTTTCAGAGAGAGGAAGAGAAAGAGAGAGAGAGAGAGAGAGAGAGAGAGAGAGAGAGAGAGAGAGAGAGAGAGAGAGAGAGAGAAACACCAATGATGAGAGAGAATCATTGATCGGTTGCCTCCTGCACAGCTCCCACCAGGGATTGAGCTCACAACCTGGACATGTGACCTGACCAGGAATCCAACCCTGACCTCCTGGTTCATGAGTTGACACTCAACCACTGAACCACCCGGCCGGGCTCAGTTGCATTTTTATACACCAATACTGAACTATCAGTAAGGGAAACTAAGAAAACAATCCCGTCAACAATTGCTTCAAAAATAAAATAAAATACCTAGGAATAAATTTAACCAAGGATGTAAAAGACCTGTACTTAGAAAATCATAAGACACTGAAGAAAGACAATGAAGAAAATACAAATAAGTGGAAGCATATATGTGTTCATGGATAGGAAGAATTAACACCATTAAAATGTTCCTACCACTCCAAACAATCTATAGATTCAATGCAATTCCTATCAGTATGCAATGGCATATTTCATAGGACTAGAACAAATATTCCAAAAATTTATATGGAACCACAAGAGACCCTGAATAGCTATAGCAATCTTGAGAAAGAAGAACTAAGTTGGAAGAATCATGCTACCTGATATCAAACTATACATATTACAAGCCCATAGTAATCAAAACAGTGTGATACTGGCATAAAAACAGACATAAATCAATGGAACAGAACTGAGAGCCCAGAAATAAATCCATGCCTTTAAAGTCAATGAATAGTTGACAAAGGAGCCCTAACCGGTTTGGCTCAGTGGATAGAGTGTTGGCCTGCAGACTGAAGGGTCCCAGGTTCGATTCTGGTCAAGGGCATGTACCATGGTTTCGGGCATGTCCCCAGTAGGGGCTGTGCGGGAGGCAGCTGATCAATGTTTCTCTCTCATTGATGTTTCTAACTCTCTATCCATCTCCCTTCCTCTCTGTAAAAATAATCAATAAAATATATTTTAAAAAAATAGTTGACAAAGGAGGCAAAACATACAATGAGGTAAAAATAATCTATTCAACAAATGATATTGTGAATATTGGACAGATACACGCAAAAAGTGAAACTAGACCACTTTCTTACACCATAGAATAAACTCAAAATGGATTGAAGACTTAAATGTTAGACTCAAAACCATAAAAATCCTAGAAAAAAACATAGGCAGTAAAATCTTGGACATTTCTCAAAGCAATATTTTTTTCTGATATATCTGCTTGGGCAAGGACAACAAAAGAAAAATTAAACAAATGGGACTATATCAAACTAAAAAGTTTTTGCACAGCAAAGGAAACAATCGACAAAATGAAAAGACAACCCACTGAGTGGGAGAACATATTTGCCAATGAAACATCTGATAAGGGGCGAATATCCAAAATTTATAAAGAACTTATAAAACTCAACACCAAAAAATCCAAACAATCCAATTAAAAAATGGGCAAAAGACCTAAACAGACACTTCTCCAAAGAGGACATACAAATGGACAATAAACATGAAAAGATACTTGATGTCACTAATCATCAGAGAGATGCAGATTAAAACCACAATGAGATATCACCTCACACTTGTCAGAATGGTTATCATCAATAAACCAACAAATAACAAATGTTGGAGAGGATGTGGAGAAAAGGGAATCCTTGTGCACTATTGGTAGGAATACAGATTGGTGTAGCCACTATGGAGAGCAGTATGGAATCACCTTAAAAAACTAAAAATGGAACTGCCTTATGAACCAGTGATTACACTTCTGGGAATTTATCTGAGAAAACCGGAAACGCTAATTCGAAAGAATATATGTATGCACCCTTATATTACTTGCAGCATTTACAACGGCCAAGATTTGGAAGCAGCCCAGGTGTTCATCAGTAGATGATTGGATAAAAAAGCTGTGGTACATTTACACAATGGAATACTACTTGGCCATAAAAAAGAAGGATCTTACCTTTGCAACAGTATGGATGGATCTGGAGAGTATTATGCTGAATGAAATAAGCCAGTCAGAGAAAGACTAGTACCATGTGATTTCACTCATATGTGGAATTTAAGGAACAAAGTGAACTAACAAGCAAAACAGAGACAGGTTCATAGAGAGCAGGTTGACAGCTGTTGAGGATAGGTTGGCGGTTGGGGGTCTGGGTGGGAGTGGTGGAGGGATCAAGCAAAAAAAAAAAAAAGGATAAAACACTCATGGATATGGACAATAGTGTGGTGATTGTGGGCTGCGGCAGGGAGGGGGCTGTTGGGAGAAAGTGGAGGAGTGTATGGGGGATAAATGGTGAGGGAGACTTGATTTAGGGTGGTGAACATGCAATATAGTGTATAGATATGTGCACCTGAAACCTGTATAATTTTGTTAACCAGTGTCACCCCAATAAATTCCATTAAAAAAAAAAAAGACAGATTCTCATTACCAGTCAGTGAGACTATAAGTTGGTATATTTTTGGGAATATAATTTGCATGAAAAGCTTTAAAACAACCAACTTTAGAAATCAGTCCTAATAAATTACTATGGAATACATATAGATGTTTGCTGTTATTTGTAATGGAGATAAACTGGAAAAAACAACAACCCTAAATAGACATATAATAAGGGATGACTAAATTAAGATTTATCTCTATGAGACTATTTAAAAGGATATATACTAGTTCTTATTAATATGGGTAAATGTTTAAATTATAAGTTTCACAAGGACATAGTCCTTATCTAGCTTGGTTTTACTATTTATTCCTAGGGAATAGCATAAGGCCTAGCATACAATTTTTTAAATTAAAACTTTATTCTTTTTTTTTTAATATTTTATTGATTTTTTACAGAGAGGAAGGGAGATGGATAGAGAGTTAGAAACATCGATGAGAGAGAAACATCGATCAGCTGCCTCCTGCACACTCCCTACTGGGGATGTGCCCATAACCAAGGCACATGCCCTTGACTGGAATCGAACCTGGGACCCTTGAGTCCGCAGGCTGACGCTCTATCCACTGAGCCAAACCGGTTAGGGCTAAAACTTTATTCTTTATAAAGCTGTTAGGTTCACAGCAAAATTAAGGGGACGGTATAGAGATTTTCCTTGCCATTTACCCTGTCTCCACATATACATAGCCTTCTCCATTATCAACATTTCCCATCAGAGTGTTACATTTGTTACAGCTGATAAACCTATATCATTGCCACCCTAAGCCCATAGTTCACATTAGAGTTTACTCCTGGTATTGTACATTGCATGGGTTTGGACAATGCATAAGGGCATATATCCATCATTAAAATATCATACAGTATTTTCACTGCCCTAAAAAACTCCTCTATGCTCCATCTAGTTATTCATCTTTCCTACCATCTCAACCCCTGGAAAACAACGATCCTTTTACTGTCCCCATAGTTTTGCCTTTTCCAGAATATCATTTCATTGGAATCATACACTGTGTAGCCTTTTCAGGTTGTTTTCTTTCACTTAGTAATATGCATTTAGGGTTACTCCATGCCTTTTCATGGCTTGACAGCTCATTTCTCTTAGCACTAATAGTCCATTGCCTGGATGTATTAATTTATTTCACCTACTGAAGAACATCTTAATTGCTTCCAAGTTTTGGCAATTATGAATAGGTGCTATAAACACCTGTGTGTAGGGTTTTGCATGGATATACTTTCAACTCCTTTGTGTAAATAAATACCAAGTAGAGTAATTGCTGATGGTTTGGTAAGAGTATGTTTAGTCTTCTAAGAAACTGCCAAATTAACTGCCTTCCAGAGTGCCTGAACCATCTTACATTCCTACCCTTAATAAGTGAGAGTTCCTGTTGCTCTACATCTTCACTAGCATTTGGTGTTGTCAGTGTTCCAGATTTTGGCCATTCTAAGTGTAGTACACATACATTTTTATTAAATACTAGAGGCCCAGTGCACGAAATTCATGCGGGGGGGGGGGGGGGAGGTGTCCCTCAGCCCGGCCTGCACCCTCTCCCAACCCAGGACTCCTTGGGGGATGTCTGACATCCCTCTCGCCATCTGGGATCCTGGCTCCTAACCGCTCACCTGCCTGCCTGCCTGCCTGCCTGATTGGCCCTAACCACCTCTGCTGTGGCTTTGTCCATAAGGTCATTCGGCTGACTGGTCTAATTAGCATACATTATGCTTTTATTATTATAGATTTGGTAAATGAAAGAAAAATGTTCAGTGGGAAAAAATTATATTAAATGTTATTTCTGTGAAAAATCTGTCTATAAAAAGAACTGGAATGACACACCATGAAATGGGAAAAAGAGGTCGTGGGCATTTGTTAAGAACAGCTTTATTGAGGTACAATTTTACATAACATAAAAATTCACCCATTGTATATGTACAGTTCGACTACTTCATTTGTACATTGTGCGATTATCGCCATAATCCAGGATCATGGTCTCATTCCACCTTTTCTGTTTGGTAAAGGAGGGCATATTCTTTGGAAGTCCCCTTCCTGACCTATAAAATTATCTATAAAAATTTCAGGATTGAGCAGGCATGATATAACTAGATTCTGTTTCGGTACTATGGTAGGATCATTATTCTTGGTCCTTCTGCAAATACAAAGGCTCCACAGAATAATGAGTACAGGCCCATTTTCCAAAGGAAATGTGGGTATTGGATGGAATCAGATGTGAGCAGTTCCCTTGTGCGTGATTTTGCTAGCGGAGTGCGAAAGCTGAGGGCGCCCCCCCAAAACCTGGGAAATCGGCCGCTGCAGTCCCGAGGCTGGAGCCACCGCCTCTCCGCGAAGCGCCCAGAGAAGGGACTTCCGGGGTATATTTCGTTAACTCTCTACAACAGAGAATCCTTTGGGCAAAACTCGACTGAGATGGGTGAGCACTTAAACATCCTTCACATCCCCGGGTCCCAACGCCCCGCCGGCAGCCTCCTACCTGCAGAGAAGCAGAGCAGGAACACCGGGTGCCTCAGGCGGGCCAAGCCTAGCAAAGTGGGAGCAAAGAACATGGCTTCGTCGTCGGGGTGCGCGATCACCAGGAGGGCCCGGCTTCCTCTTCCCAACAGGCCAGCCTGCACCTGACTCTTCATTCGTTCCAAGAAGTGCCAAGCCCAGAAGATGCCCGGTGCTAGGAGGGCCACCGCCCCACACACAACACCCACGGCTTCCATGCCGTCTGAGGGGCACAGCGCCTGCGTCACAGGGACAGGTGCCCGGGAGCCGGCTCGGGGGGAAACCACGCTCCGCGCAAATTGCGTTCCGAGTCGCGGTCCGTCCCGCCAAGCCGCTCCTAAGGCGTGAGGCTTGAAAGGTCGGGTGCCTGGGATGGGCTGGCACGGTCGCCTCCCGGCACATACCGAGTTCCCTCTACTTTACGTAGCGTTTACGAGGACGGCCACAGCTCGGGACCGAGCCCCTTCCTGTCAGTTTCTACCCGCGTCCTGACACAGTCCGATCGTTTCACCGTCAGAGTGAGGCTGAGGGCGCACTTTGTGGTCGCCAGGGTCACAGGCTCCGAGTGGCTAGAGTCAGACTCAGAGTAAGGACTGACATCAAGGACAAATAGGCATCGCCTGTTCGCTTGTCAGTGAAGCCTTGGCGCGAGTTACAGTCGGAGCCCTGGGAGACACCTGGGTAGGTCGATGTGCACCCGTCCAGCTCCCAGCCTGTGGGGGCCCGCTCCCTCCCCGCGGCCCGCGCTCGCGCCGGCCGCCGCCGTCCCGCCGCGCCGAGGAGGGGTCGCAGGGCCGGGGGCTGGGCCTCACGTCCTTCCCGTTCTCACGCCTGGGGGAGGCCCGAGTGCGGGGACTCGGCGGCTCGCGGTGGGCGCCCCAGGCCGTGCGCGATGGCAGCGCCGGTCCCGGTCGGGCACGGTGCTGCCGGGCCTATCTCAGGGGAGGGCACCGCCGCCGCCAGGCCGAGGCGAGGCGAGGGGACCGAGCGCGGGCGACCTAGGAAGCTCGGCCGAACTGGGAGCCGGGCCCCGGAGGGAGTCGGTCCTCCGACCTTCCGGAAGGAGGAGGAGCCGGCGCCGGAGCCGCCTGAGCGCGGCCGCCCGGCTGGGGGAGGGAGCGGGGTTGAGTCAAGATGGCGGCCAAGGTGGCGAAGCAGCAGCGGCGGCTGGAGTGAGCGTCCGGCTCGCCGCGCCGAGCGAGGTACCGAGGTAGCGACCCGCGCCGGGGCCGCGTCCCGCCCCTCAGGCCCGGGGCGCGCCGGCTACCACGCTGCGCCCGCTCCCGGTGAGTAGGCCCCGGCCTCCGGCCCCCGCTCGCTCGGAGGCTGCCGAGGGCTCTCAGGGCAGCGGCCGCGGGGGTGCCTCCCTGCGGGGCGAGGGCCGTCGCGGACCCGGCAGGTGGGGGCCCGCCCCAGCCGCCGGCCCCTTCTCCTCGGCCGCCCAGGGCGCGGCGGGGCGCGCGGGCTGGGCGAGTGGAGGAGGCTGTGGAGTTGGAGGAAGAGCGGGCTGCGGCCCGGCCGGGCGGCCGGAGGTGTGCGGCGGGGAGGGGCGGCGGGCCGAGCGGCCGGGACCCCGGCGGGCCGCGCGGTGGCCGCCGCGCTCGCTCGGAGGCGGAGTCGGTGGGCGGCCGGGAGAGGAGGGTGCGGGAGGGTGACAGCGAGGGACGAGCGCGTGAGGAGCGAACTAGTTCGCCTTTCTAAGCAGATCATCCGGGAGAGGAATGGCGAAGGGCGGGTCGCGGTGGAGATGGCAAAGGTCGGAACTCTGTACCTTCTGCCTTGGATATTGGCTTTAATAATGATGCCAAGTCGGGGAATTCTCCTTTTGGGGGTCAGAGGGATTTGAGAAACTGTAATTAAATGAGTCCTAATGGAGAGGAAAGCGAATTTGAATTCTTCGAATGAGCTGGACGAGGTGCGCCGAGGACCGAAGGTGTGGGTGGGGGGAACAGTGATGGGCTGGTACCCGAGTTGTGCTGATGTTGTGGGCCCGGTGCTGCTCCAGCAGCTCGCCTCGGAGCGGGGTGCGGGGTGGGGAATTCTGCTCTTTGGAATGAGTGTACTCACCTGCATCAGAGTTGCTTCCTCAGTCATGTCCCAATTTTGAAATGTACATTCCTTGTGTTTACCCTGGCGAGGTAACGATGGGAGGCGGAACACCGTGCAAAGAGCAACAGGCCCGGGATTTAAAAAAGCCAACCAAGTATTCATTCATTCATTCGTTCGTCGTATCGGGATCAATAGCGCCTGCTGATGGTCACATGGGATGGGCTAACTGAAGGGCTGATGGCATGATTTAGTTTTCAGTGTTTTTTTTCAAAATGTTTTCGTGTACTTTTTCATAAAGTTATTTATTGAAGGAATCAATTTGCTGGGGCTCAGGAGTAGCCCAATTTTAGAATCTTATGTCTAAATTGGTAAAAATTACAGAAGAAATAACCACAAATTATTGGAAAAAGAAATAGTCTTTACTTTCTTATTTCGTTAAAATCCCGTGGAAGTTTATTTATTTATTTTAATATTTATAGTACACAGTTGCTTTGCCTTGTTTTAAGCACACCTGTTACTAGAAATCAAGGTTAACGCGTACATGTAAATAATATGCACATACATACATAACGGTGTGAATACTTGCAATATTAAAATAAAATACTATTTTCTTTTGCAAAAGCCTTGCCATATATTGAACTACTCCCCCAGAGAAAATATAATACAAAGAGTCCCGATTCTTCCTTTAATGAAATTGTGACATTTTGGAATATGATCAACCTTTCTGTGCTTCAGTTTCCTCACCTATGATAGGAGGAAAGCATCTCTCTCAGGGTTGGCTGTTGTGAGCCTAAGAAAGTTAACACTTATGAAATTACTTTACGTAGGTTGAGAGGGCTATATTTCTGTGAGGTAGTAACAGCTCCCTCTGCCCCTGTGAAATGCTTTTTTTGCACATCTCTTGGCATTTACACTTTCTACCTTATATTTAGCTTTTTATGTATCTATTTTATCTCCTCTGGAGGGAAGGATAGGCCCTTCTCTGATTTTATCTTTAAGTTTATGGCAAATTTAAAGATAAAATCAAAGGATTTTATTTTCTGGGTAGAATATTGATACTGCAATAGTTATTAAATGAATAAACATTGCATTCTAATTAGAAAAATGGATTCACATTACAACTTATCCAAATACACTTGTTACCTGTGGTGTAACATTCTCTGAGATATCTCTCTCTATATAAAAACCTAATATGCAAATTGTCCCCTCTGGAGTTTGATGGGGAGACTAAGAGTTCGATCACTCGCTATGATGTGTGCTGACCACCAGGGGATAGCATGGAACTAAGGAAGGCCCCAGCTGGCAGCTGGGGAAGGAAGGCCTTGACCAGCAGCTGGGGAAGGAAGGCCCCGGCTGGCAGCTGAAAGGCTTCGATCAGCCCTGATCGCCAGCCAGGTCTAGGGACCCTACCTGTGCATATAAAAGGCTGATATGCTAAGTGTCCCTCCTACTGTCTGACCTGTCACTGTGACACACACTGACCACCAGGGGGCAGACGCTCAATGCAGGAGCTGCCAAGCTGCAGTGACTTGGCAGCCGCAGTTCTTGGGTGACACACCCCAAGACCAGAGAGGAGAGAGCCCAGTTCCTCGCAGGGCTGCGCGATTCCACCTTCGGCTGTGGGTCATGTTGTTGCTGGGGCACTGTTGGCCCCGAATCTGGTTTACTGCACACTTGTGTTTGCGTTCCACACCCTGTACAACAGCAACTTTGCAGAGTGCCCTCTCGCACTCCAGGACCCCTCGGGGGATGCCGGAGAGCCAATTTTGGCCTGATCCCCGCAGGTCAGGCTGAGGGACCCCCACCTGCCAAGGGACCCCACCTGCTGTAGGGACCCCTCTCACTCTGCAGACACCGGAGAGGGACTGTGAGAGGTTGGCTCCAGGGCGTGTCTGGCCCGTCTCACCCAGTCCCGCTGGCCACCTTCTAATTTCCTTTCAGTGTGCACGAATCTGTGCACCAGGTCACTAGTATACTAGTATATATAACTGCCTATCATATTGAATTTAATTATACAGTAAGACTTAAGTATTTGGCCTGCCTATATAATTTTTTTTAAACGGCACAAAATGTTTGAAATTAACTTATAGTTTCTTTGAATTTAATTGATTAAAAATTTGTTTCCAGGCTAGGCAGATTTAGATTAGTTAGGTTTTTTTAAAATTTTTTAAAAAATTGGTGAAGGATGAGATTTTCTTGCCATTGTTATCTGCAGTGGAAAGCAAAGGGCTTTGAATAGGCCAGGAATTGATGTAGGTCAGCAATTTTCAAAGCTTTTCTTCTCATTGGCACACAGAAACTAATGACTAAAGTTCTGCAGCACCAACTGACAAAAAAATAGGTATAATTTTAATTCATTCACACTGGATGGCTATTGTGTTGGCTGTTGTCAGTTTTTAATTTGACAATCTAAGGCTATGGTTCTCAACCTGTGGGTCGCGACCCCTTTGGGGGTCGAACTACTTGTTCACAGGGGTCGCCAAAGACCATTGGAAAACACATATATAATTACATATTGTTTTTGTGATTAATCACTATGCTTTAATTATGTTCAATTTGTAACAATGAAATTGGGGGTCACTACAACATGAGGAACTGTATTAAAGGGTCGCGGCGTTAGGAGGTTGAGAACCACTGATCTAAGGGAAAAGAGGTCAGTGCCCCTGATGAAATAGTCAGATATTGCATGTTTTAAAAATTCTTGTGGCACACTGGTTGATAATCGCTGATGTAGGTAAATGTCAGGATATTTGTTACTTGTTTTTTTTGTGTGTTTATTTTGTTGTTCAGTTTTAATTGTATTTCGTCTTAGTTACAATTTCAAACTCTTAATTGATGGCTGGGAATGATAGAGGTTTCCCATACTTACGTAGTTAGTTTTATCCCTTCCTTCCTTCCTTCCTTCCTTCCTTCCTTCCTTCCTTCCTTCCTTCCTTCCAAGATTTTTAAAAATAGATTTTTAGAGAGAGAGGGAGGGAGAGGGAGGGGAGAGAGAGAGAGGAAGAGAAACATTCATGTTAGAGCGAAACATTGGTGGGCTGCTTTCTACGCTTTCCCTACCTGGGAATCGAACCAGCAACCTTTGGTGCACAGGACGATACTCAACCGAGCCACATCAGCCAGGGTCCGTCTATTCTTTTACTTCACATATGGATTTTACTAGATGTAGAAAATGTTCATCATAATTAATTATGTTGACTTATTGATTAGAGATTCATTTATAGTTCATTGCTTTGTATAACTGGTGTTAAGTGCTTTTTATGTTCAGGGCACATTACTAAGTACTATAAAGTAGAGCAGATTAATAT